CTTCGAACGGCGACCTACACCACGCCAAATAATGTAAAGTAGGTATAAACGTATATGCATAACATAAGATTCTAAAACATAATATTTATAACTTACGAAAATGCATAATATTTTCTACTGTTATTTGTATATTTTTTTTTATTACCTGCACGGCGTTTACGACGCGACATTTTCTCCTGCAACAAACTTTACGAAAAAGGCAAATATTTATTTGCGATCTACCACACAATATCAGTATTGCCGATAGGTAACTATCCTCCTTGAGTATCGGTCGTACACCTTTACATGTATGCAGAGGACATCGCAAGGGACGAGGAACAGTATTTTATACAACCCAAACATACCGATGTTTGTGCAATGGGTTGTTTGAATTTTATGACATCGTAAAATATTGTAAAAACTAAACAAACTCGGTGTAAACTACCTACGTATGTGTTCTACAACAACCATCATAGTATAATATTATAACAAGTGATACCGGAGGTTTACAAGCTAAATGTTAATAGCTGTTCGTTATCGATTTGTTTTCTAAAAATGTTTTAGATTGCTTTATGATATAGGTACCTCCCACTATATAACCGTGGTAAAACTTCGAGGGTAAAAATCGATCATGTATATAGAAGACATAGTTGTACCTTTATACGTCTATACCTATCTAATAAAATGCATTTTCGGTGTAAGCCTGTCAAACCCTGCAGAAACATGCCCTAGCTGCTTTTCATTTGACATTCAATCGTTTTATATTTTTAAACATAAAACATTCAGAGCACATCATATCCCCGTTGTGCCCGTCCGTCCGTTAGTTACCAGTAAATTCATACGATTGTCGATATTAAGATGATTACTTATACTATAGTATTGAAAAAAATACTACCAAAATATTAATGATACAAAATTCTTTTTAAATTGTATTTGAAAATATAGTTTATTGCTTTGTATTGAAATAAGTTTGGAAATTTAGCATGCTTGCAGAGGGAACTTTTCTAACTTTTTGTATATTATCATCCCTGCAAGTATACGCAAATACCTACTATAAAGTAACAACACTGAATAATATATTATAAGCAACACATATTGTTTTGATCGTTAATTATTCCGGTGTGTCACTATACGTTTTTTTAACGCTTAAAATATAATATGGTTCCTTTATAATATTGTTCAGAACGGTTTTTTGGAAATCAAAACAATCACCATATATTTTTGTGTTTTTATATGGACTTAGAGGTAATACTACTGCTCAGAATATCAGAATACTTTTCAAAAAAATGTCAACGTACGAATGACGAATATTAAACGAAAAATAGTCTAGTAAACGGTAAGTTGTGACTAGGTTTACTAGGTAGGTACCTAGCTATCTATAAGATAGTTTAGACGAGAGGGGCACAACTGCAGAATATTCCACACGGTCGCTTCTCGCGTCTTATGTAAACTTATTAAATGCTTGTAAAATAAAAAAAAACTATAATAATTCAGCAATCGTTATTAAAATACTTGTATACGTCGACATTTAAAATAAAACAAAAAAGTTTTTCTTCGAGGTATAAAATCTCAATGAATAGAATAGGTATAGTATATAACAATTTACTCACTTCGTCATCAAAATAAAAAAACCTAATAAGGCAATAAAAGAGGTAAAAAATAAGATTTTTTATTACAAGTTCTTTATTCTATATTATGTTCATACAAAAACACAAAATATGACTGTGATAACCATTGTTTTGAGTTCACAAAATCATGCATTGTATAAACCCACGCACTTTATGATTGTGAACCAGGAAAGACATTTATTGCACCGCGTTGTTGAGTGATGTATAAATTATATGTAGGTATTATAAAGGTACCTACATAATAATGAGTGTTCCTACTATGGTTTATTTAAAAAAATAATGTTCGAACTTTTGATTAAAACAATAAACACGTTAATGCGTATTTAAAAGTATAGCAAATAATAAAAGAACGCTGTCGAATTTGATCGATAGATTTAAAAAGCATAGTTGTTAAATGTTAATATTATATATAAATAGAAAACAAAGATGGGCAGTTTTAACAGAGTTAAACATTTTAAGTTAACATTTAACACCACTGATTTGTAAAACGCCCTTAAAATGACCTGGATAATCTAAAAGTAATTCGTCAGGCTGATGGCTGACATATTACATTAATATTATCATGCCAAAACCTCGTACCGTATAGGTAGATTTATAGAAAAAAATATTAAGCAAATTCGAAAAAAATAGGTGGTACGGTTAGTGTACTCATTAACATTAACAACGTGTGTCTACTAATATATATATCCATATAGGTACTGGTTCACAAACAAATATATACGTGTATTCACTTATGTTATTAATTAGAGCAAGGACTTTCGTAGACATTTGCATATTTTCTGGTCAACGGTATATTGTATATTATTTTGCTGGATAAGCACGCACAAAATGCGATTCATATAACATAACGTTGTGAATGAAAATGTTAATTGCTTATTTTTGCATATTTGTTTAGTATTTATCAGGTTAGACGTGTCTCGTGATTTATTTGAGGAAATTTTAAAATTTAAATTTTTTACCTATTCTGATATTCGAATATTTTTTTAAAAATAAACTGTGTATTTTGATAGATATATTATCTACCTTATATCTTGCGATCGTGGAATATTGTGAAGACAGAAAACAATATTATGTACTCTTACGTAATAAATATACAAAGAACAACCTGCAAAAGTATGGTTTTAAATGTTTTACTCAAGTTTTTATTGATCAAGAAAGCATAACATTCCAAAGTCAAAATAATATCCTAACGTTTTTGGTAAAATAGTTTGAATAATATATAAAAATAAACTATTTGCTCTATAGCCGATGGAATTTTTTTTGATATATTTTGTGTATATTTGCAACTTTATTGCACAGGTACAGAAATCATTGCTCTACAGTTTATTTCAATTAAATATAAAAAGTCTATTATACCACCAGCTAGTTAAACAGTTGGTGCAATAATTGTCAAAATACAAGTAAATTGTTTTTTTTTTCAAATTCGGGTAAAATTTAAATACATTACACATTGAAAAGACACAATATATCAAATGTAAAATATTATAGGGATAGCACAAAAAAAAACCTCATCCCATTTTTAAGAAGTGCAGCCACTTATTTCGCTCGCTTCGCCTCGTTCACGTAGGATAAATGTCAATCTTGGATGATTTTCTATTTTATTAAATTTGTATATATTATAATATATAAATTATAAATACTTATATTAAACTATATAATTAGGCACTGAGCAGACCTCGACACTGTTTATGTTTAGTAATAGCCGTGGGAAGTTACGGGGACTGTGAGAAGTTTTTGACAAGACCGTTTGTAATAAGTGCTTACACATATTGGTAAATAACATATTTTAGATTTTTAACGGTCCTAATTTGTATTGATTATAGAATGTGTTTTTTTTTTAGTATGTCCTTTTGAAACAATAAAAATGCTTAGATCTTCGCCTTTGAGGGTGTTTTCTTGGAGAAATTTGATACTTAAAATGCCTCAATACTTTTCATAACAATCGAGAAAAAACGAAAAAAAAAATACTGGAAAACGGTAATATTTACAAAATCCAAAATTTTTATTTTATATTAGTATTTTCTAGGCATGATAATTTTTTGTTTTATAGACATTTTAGTTCAATTTTTTTCGAAATTGGATACTGTAACAATAAATAACGATGTTGATTATTACCTAATTGTTAATTGTTGTAAATAAAAAAAATTAACCGTAGACTTTTTTGGTAATGCACAATAATAATATCGAATTTCATGTTATGACTTTAAAACGAAAAGTGGGTTTATTTTATATATTCTATTTTTATACAAGTAGATAAGTTTTCTAAGTATAATCGATATCTCCGAACTTTTGACAATAATCGTTATCGCGTTTGAATCGAAGTCCAAGCAAATAATTACAAGCTATAATAATATCTATATACATAGTACAAATGTCAGACTTCTGAGTAAATAATTTAATTCTGGTCAATATAGTCAATATAGCCTACCTACTTACACTTATTTAAAAGATGGTCATCGGTCTAAATTGAACTTGTTACGATGGTATATTATTATTTTTCTATATTATATTTATACAACCATTTATAATATTAATATTATATTATCTACATTGACTTTGTATGTGCCAGGCTGTAAATGTCAATAGCTTGCTGTTAAATGTATAATAATATAGTATAATATGTGATCAACAATTCAATACTTTTGTTTGTTATAATATTACGGTGAAAAATTTGTTTGAATGTTAACTTTCTTGGCATGACTGATATGAGTACATACGGTATTAAATAGTTACCTGCATGGAAGAGCGTAAAAGCGTATTATAAGAGGTACTAGCCTACTACTATAGTACTACTAGTATAAATTAGGTACTTATTATCCCGCTTACTATTATAATTTACAACTATTCACAGTGAAGTAGGCGTTTTGAAATATCTTACGTATTTTTTATTTTTTTTTTGGAATTATAGTTATTTTACATAAAATCAACATCAAGTTAATATCCCTGACGTCTCTATGCATCGTAACAATCACGAACAACATTCCATTCGTATCCCGACGTGCAACTCGTAAGTATAAAATAAGACAAAATATGTGTTTAATACAATTATATACTTCTCCGCGGACATACCTAACCCAAAAATATAAATCCGAGTAAATTTACCTACCACGTTACCATAATATATTTTATACCTATATTATAATAATAATAATATTCTAATATTTACGCCGGGGTGGCTATAATATTAATATAATATGTAGGTTTAATACCACTAATGATAAAGTACCTACTCAATAGTGTACTACTATTAATTAGGTGTAATAATATAATGTATACTACACGTAATCCGTTTGACCCACGGACCGCTGTAACTTTAAAACTAAGTCGGACCGCCAAATTTGGCAAAGTCGAATATGATGACATATTATTATTGTCGAGTAGCGAAGTACATACCGATATTGACCAGTTTTATGTTCTCGTCGTCGAGGAATTTGAGCGCCACGGACACGTTCTCCAGCTTCTGCGACCGGAACGTGGGCCGCTTGTTGTGCTTGGGCAGCCGCTTGCCGCTAAGCACTTCGATGAGAGCGATCAACCGGAGCCCGTCTCCCAGGTCCGTTTCCAGGTTGCCGATGGCCTTGCCGGCCGTCTTCAAGTGCTCGTTGGCCCATCGTGTGAACGTGTTCTGCTGGATGAGCTTCCAGCGCGCGTCCTCGGCCAAGTCCCGTTCGGCGGCTCCCATGTCGTCCTCCTGACTGCCGGCTTCGTATCCGTCCGGGTCGTCCGTCGCGGTCGCCGCCGCCGCCGCCACCGCTGCCACAGCTGACATACCGGTTTCGCGGGTGTGTGCGTGCGCGTGCGCTAATATCGGTGTGCGGTGTGCGGGTGTACGCGCGCGCCTGTGCGTGTGTACGATATGACTACGAGATTTCGATGTACGAAACAGATAATAATAATAATATATAGGTAGGTGTATACAATAATATGGTATTATATTATTATTATTATTTTGTTAAAATAACGACATCGATGGACGTTTATCTCGTCGGTCGGTCGGTCTGTCGGTCGGTGGCTATGGTGGATGTGGTGGTCGTCGTCGGACTACGCGAACCGCGCCCTCTGCCGGTATGTGGCGTACCTGCGAATATAACAGAAAATTAATAATAATTATAATATGTTTCCCTATATGCTATATGAGTGTATGTCGTATGATGCCCTAAAAAAGAAATCAAATGGAACAAAAGGTTTGAACTAAAATATATTTTCTCTTGCGGAGTTTTTTGATTGATACTATTCGGTAAGTATTCGATTCGGTAAAAACCTTGTTAGCACGTTACAAAGTTACTTTTTAAATAAACACTTTAGAACAATGTTTTTAAAAGGTTTTTAAAACCCGCATTTTAGTGTTAAAATGCTCTAAAAAATGTATATTCTTTAATTTGTTTTTTTAAATAAACTTAAATGTAAAATGCAAAAAAGAAGCAAAATAAAACCTTTTTATTCTAATTCAAAAATACATGAAACGTAGGTAGGTATATGGTATATGTTATAGAAACAGCAATGCGTTGCTAGAATTGGAAAACTAAGTGCATCGAAATATTCCTCTCCTTTTAATAATAATTATAGGACTCGGAACTAAATGCCATTAAAAAGTACCTATAGGTACCAGGTATGCATGCGCTATTTGTTACTCACAGTTTTGACAAATTCAAATATTTTTACACTTAATAATTTGTACTAATTATTTATAAATAAAAACGAGAAAACCTATATTGCCAATGTGGTTGAAACTCTCAAAATAATATATACAGTATTTTTTTTTTTTTACCGTCAATTTTTCAAATTATATTATAATACACATCATTATTCATGAAAATAATTTACGTCTAAAAAAATGATAAAATTGAGAAATATACTCTTAAAACTACAAACTCACTAAATATACCAAACTATACAGTATAAACTTTTAATATTTTTTCGTAGGATTGTGAAATTAATTTCAAGCTTATATTTGGAATAAATCTAATAATTCTCCCCCCAAAAATACATGCAAGCTTCCGAGCACTAAATTAAAAATAATAATACAAAGACACAATAATATATTATAATATTTTTAAAATTAAAATTTCAATTTCTGAAATTTTGAAGAGTGTATTCATAAATTATTATAATGACGTTTCTTGTAATGTATTTATTATTTAAATGCCGGCGACGACAAACCGTCACGATGAGCATGTAACGTCCTCTGTCACGGCGATGGAATTAATATTTAAATTATTTTCTGAAGTATTTAGAATTCTATATTACTATATAAGTGTTTGGTTGCTGTAGTAACTGGTTAGCTATTATAGGCTTCTTGAAATAAAAACAGGAAAACCCTGCGAGGGTCCAAATCTCCTCCCGCAAACTTTTATCTCCTAAAATATTATATTTTTTGTGTTTAGGCATTAAAATTTGCTCAGTTAATAAATCAGCTCGAATTTGAATGTCGTGATGTACTTTAATGTTTAAACACAACTCCTATATATTTTTAACTCGTATAAACATAGGGTTTTCCAGTTTTATATTTTATTTACAACAGCCCATAACACCGGCCAGAAAACAATACCTAGGTTAGGTTTTCCATTACCTAATTCTGATACAAAATCAATATAATATTAAATATTAATATTAATTATTATAATTATAACAATAATCTTTATACAACTAAAATATTATGATGTACCTATACACAATATACGTACTTATATAGTTTAAATTACGTCTGCACAACTGCACTATAGTATGTTATAAGATCATTTAGTTGTACGTAATAGGTAATAATTATATTTTGTTTAAAACAATTATTTTAAATTATAATGCTGACAAGTTTTTTTTTTTACTGCACTTTTTCCATTTTTTTTTCACACAGTAACAAAATAATAAATATTAAATATTTATTTAATATTACATAGTAATAATTTTGTATAATTAATATTTAATCCTAAATATATGCAAAATGTATTGTTGATAGTTGTTGTTGCTTGACTTGTTTAAAATGTAGCCTATATAGGTAGGTATACTTGTAAAGGTCATAACAATATTATTTTTTTAACGTTTTTTTAACTACATTTATAATAATAAAAAGTTTGGCACAAATTTCGTACATATTGTTATTGTGTGTTGTTTTGTGAGATATACCAAAATAACGGTTTATGACGTGAGGAACCATAATAGTTATGTACATAAAAAATATAACATATTGAGCACCAACAGGACACTATTCGTCTGCTGATATGATGAAAACTAACGAGGGCGACTGGCATTTGGCAGCTTCACAATCACACTGATTACGTAGATTCGACAATAACATTGTCACAAATATATTAACTCTAACGAGTTCCCCCAAATCAAGTAAATACTAATAGAAAATATCATTTTTTTCTACAAGTTTAAAATTAGACCAATTAAACAATATTGAAAAAAAATTAAATTAAATCAAGTAAATGCTAATAGAAAATATCATTTTTTTCTACAAGTTTAAAATTAGACCAATTAAACAATATTGGAAAAAAATTAAATAAAATGTTGTTTTTGTGTTAGGCCTAGCCCATCTTATTTTCGGTATGCCATATAAACACTGACGATAAGAATTGTTGTATTTTCCATAGTAAAAATAGTGAGAAAATATTGTATTGCCAACTAAGTATTTGTATTATTTTTGTATAATTTACATAATATATTATATAAATATATATGGAATGTAAATTATATATATAATTTTTATTTATAAGCCGATAACTATAAAGTTACGGACTACTCCCCTCGTTTTTTTTTAAAAAAATTTTATGAGCGACTTGAGTCTCCTAAAAAATCATAGTACTTCCCCTGCAGGAAATTTCTGGGTTAGGGTGTCAGAGCCGACCAGTTTTTAAAACCAAAACTTGCCTCATAATACCATTCGCACCTCATGAAACCGTCATATTATTTCAATTTTTTTTAATTTGAAAAATGAAGACTTTTATGCAGGTCGAATTGTAGGGGTACTTCGGTTTTAAACACACTATTTTCGGAAGTTATAACAAACGTCAATATACGTATCATTCATTCTTGAGTATTTTAAAATGTATTTTCCTGGCGTTGCTTAAAGTTAATAAAAAATTGGAGATTAATATGAAGGATAAAGTTTTACCTTACAAAAAAAAAACACAATCTCCCGGATTTTTACCCCTTTATCATTAACCCATGAGGTTGTCCAACGGAACCCTTCGGTTCCACGGAACATACTTTGGGAATGAATAGCTGGCTCCCAGACACAATTAATCCGGGCTCTAAAATATTAAAAAATTGTATATTATATATGGGCGCGAGTTCATTTGAACTCAAATGTTTCTCTCTATTTTTCTATATTGAATAATAAACATACTAACAAGACTCACAATAGGTGATTTGATTTCACGTTTAATAGTTTTCAAGTCGATCGTAGGTGAACGTACTCGTGGGCGGTGATCTCGTAAATGTCGGTTTTATAGTTTGTATAGTTTTTACGACCCCGTAAAATCTATTTTTTTTTCCAGAGAAAGAACAAAACCCAAACGTTATTCCACATCTGGTATACTTTTTTTTTTAACAATATAACAATATATGATGTTATGTGAGTTCAGAATTATTCAAAATTGTTTTTATTATGTATGCTATAATAATATAATACCAAATTAGTGGTCGGAATACAATAATTCAAAATCAATTGTCCTAAAATTCTTTTTAATTTTAAATCAAACTTTAATCCTATTTATATGGGCAGCATTGGGGCAGGTAAGGTATATCTCTGATTGACTGATTCAAAACTTTCTTCAATTATTGTTTTAACGTGAACTTTAAATCGTGTTCCTGAATAACGTTTATACAACCTGCGTATCCATGAAAAGAAATTATATCTGTTTTGTTTAAAATTAGAATCGTATAACCGGAACTAGGTAAATAGTTGTCACACTTTTCGTTTTTTCATGGTCATGCTAGAAAAAAACAAAATATATTTTTACACACACTGCTGGTGACTTACGAGGTAAGGTATGCGTCGGTTGAAAGATAGACGCACATAATATACACTAATATTCATATTCATATTATTTATTATTATTATTTTTATTATTATTATCACACTAAAAATCTGCCTATTACAAACAATTTTTATAGTAAAAATCATATGATTAGTACATATTATAATATGAAAATGTTGTATTTAAAATTATAAGAATGCATTTATGTAGGTACCTACATATTACATGACATTATAGTGTTATAGTTATTATTTTATAAAATGTTTAGTTGTCATTGTTTATTCTGGCAGATCAGGTACAAATTATTATTGAAGACGTATATATTACATCTAAGTATCTTACACAATCTTATAGTAACATAATGGAGTTTATTTATGGTTAAAATAAGATTGTTTGTCTTTCGTAAATAATATTTTTACTAAATATATACCTAATAAAGAAATATAGGTTATAATATGTATGAACTATTTTTGGACCTTGCTTATTTTATTAGAGTTTGAACTGATATTGTCTGTTAAAATACACTTGGGACTTAGCCGAAATATTACTCCCTTTCTCCGTAATAGAACGAATGCGTTATATCAGGTCAAAATACGATGTAACAAAGGTATATATTTTCTCAAGCACTTTATCATTTTGTCTTTTTGTCAAAAGAGGTCGGATATAAACATAGATAATACAAAAGGGATAGGATATGACAAGGTTCCTATGTTAATCGAATATGAGGTATAGCGTGCTAGAAGAGCCCCAGACATACCTTATTATTTTTCAGGTTAAATCTTAAAACCAT